GGCCTGATGGTGGAATTGAACTCAGGACCTTCTTGCTGTGCGGCAACAGTGCTAACCACCGTGCCACCGTGCTGCAATAACATAATGTGATTAATACCTAGGTAAAAGAAATTCCTATACAATAATGCAAGAGGTCAACAAGCAGTTAGAATGAACTCAGAGTAAAAGCATTAGTCAGACACTTTTATTATAATATTTCTCTTTATGTAATTTTTTTAAGCAGATTTTAGAAGGTATATTATTTTTTTAGACTAACACATTTCAGGCACAGCAACAGCAGCAACACAACCCCACACTTGACAAAAGAATTTACACATTATCAAGAATCTTTGATCCTAGATGCACTATGTAAAATAAAACAAAAACACAAAAACCCCAAAACCCCAAACTTCCAATATAAGGCACTTTAATCTCACACCTTTTCTAAAACAAACATCACTTTTTGACGATTTTAAAAGTCTAAAAATAAGCATTTTCACCCTTAGTTTAGCTCCCTTAAACTCGATAGTGTTTACGTTGGCTGAACACTGATCACATTGTCATAATGTAGAGAGACTGTAGCTCACTGTGCAGCCAGTTTTTTGAATTCATTGAAGACTTGGACTTGAATAATTCTACGCAGTCATCAGCGTTTAACAGTCAGTTAAACTGGATACTGAGCCCAGTGATTGTGACCCGAGCTCCTTCAGGCAGCAGTGCAAGTTTCTATTCCTCTCAGGATTCTGACTGTCTTTCATTCTCTTCCTGATGAGAGCAGCAGCATCTCCAGTGGCAGTTGGCCACTTTAAGGGAGAGGTGAAGAAGGGCTGCAGAAGTTCCTGGTTGGTTTTAAGTGTCATTCCAAACAGGAAACGCAGGAAAAAGTCCAATCTGCCATCCTCGCACTGCAGACTCCTGTCCACAGCGTTCTTGTACATCTCCGAGGGCGTGGGCCCCCTGAACATCCCCTTAACTTTGATTTTCAGTTTCTCCTCGAAAATGTTCTTCCCAAGATTTGCAAAGGTGAGCATTGCATAAAGAGCAGCCAGGTACTCCTGCATGGTGGGGTGGATAAAGCTCAAGACATTCTCGTTGAACAGCACGTATGGCTTTGTGACATACTGCATGCACAGGCCTGTGTAGGACACTGCCTCCAGATCGTTGATGCCCTTTTCTTTCCAGTCAGTCTGTGTTATCTTGTACTGGCCTTGTTCCAGCATCGAGAAGGCCAGCTTTCCAAGTTTAATAAGAAGGTCTCTCTCTTTATCGACGCTGTTTTCTGGAGCTCTCCATTTGCGATTCTGACGCAGGAGTGAAAACAGCAGCTTTGTGTACATGTAGGTGATGCTGTTTGGCAGCTCTGCGTGTGTGCCCTTTTCTTTAAATATGCGCTGGCACTCATCGGCCACTATAGAGCAGAACAAGGGCAGGTGGCACATGACACGGAGGGTTTTGGTAGAATTGATATAATCAATAACTCGAGCTGCTTGGTTTGAGTCCTTAAACCTCTTCTGAAAGTACTCGTCCCGTTGAGTGTCACGGAAACCAAGTACTTCTATCTCTCTGTAGTGCGCATCCCATGGGACGCAGGCGCGTACATATGGCCGAGTAGTAACCAAGCACAGGCCGCGGTAAAGCAGCCTCGCTCTCATGAGGTTGACCACGATGGCCTTCAGATTGCTGGTATCTGTGGGGTCAGTCAGAAGCTCTGTGTTTTCAAAGTCAATCTTCCAGGGGTACTCATCCAGTCCCTCTAAGACAAACATCATTTGGCATTCGTCGCACCTGTAATCCCCATCTCTCAGTTTTTCTGTTGCCGGGTAGAGTTTTTTAACTAAGCCTGCCAAGGAAAGTTTTTCGCCCTCAAACTGTTTGAGTTCTCTGACTGGCAAAGGAAACAAGAAAGTCACGTGCTTGTGTGCTCGTTCTTCAATCCAATCGAGGACTAACCTTCTGACTGCCATAGACTTCCCTGATCCTGCCACTCCAGTGAGCAATACTAACTTTGAACTTGAGGTCTCCAGATATTTAGGAGTTAAAATATCTGCAGTAGAAATCTCCTTGGGTGCTTCCTGGTTGCTGTCCAGCTTTCCTATTTTCATGACCTCGTGTTCGATATTGGGGCCATTATCACACGTGGAAACAATTTTGAGAGTAGTATGGACATCGTCAAAGGGCCTCTTCTCACCACCATAATCCTCACATACTTCACCGTATTTCTGCTTCAGACACTCGGCTAATTCGTAGCGTACTTCATCTGAAAAAAATAAAGAAAAGAAAATGTGCATACATGAAGAAGTTTGTGCAGATGTGTCATCATTGCATTCATTAAGGTTAAATTAGCAGTCAAAACAAGACATGAAGGCATACTCAAGGGCACTTACTTCTAATGCACAAAGTATCGACATAATCAACCAGCTTCTTTTTCCCCATCTCGGCCAGATGGGTTTTGGTGATCTGGAATGAATTTTCAAGGCTGTAACACTCGAGTAAGCGGTCGACCAGGTCCACTAGGTCCATGTTTTGTGGAGGAGTGTTGAACGATTGCGGGTAATACTTCCAAAGCATCCTTTTGAATCCCCTAAGTTCAAACTCTGACAGCTTTCCAAGGATTTTTGAGATAGCCTAAACCCAAAAAAGCAGTCAAATATAACTATGTCTATATAGTGCTTGTTTTTATCTTTAACAAAAAATGGACAAAGGCAAAAAAAGAACAGTGACTAACCTTAAAAGTGAATGGAATTGTTAGAGACGGATGCCTTTTCTCACTTGTGTTTTCGATTAACTTGTTTGTGTCAGAAGATTCAGGGACATCCTCTTTGCTCCTGACCCTAGTGACGTCACAGTGAAAATGCGGCAAAATATTTTAGTGACAATACTGGAAAAAGCCACACACAGTAACATGTGCAAGTTTCTTACTTGCGAATCTTCTTTTCACAGTCGTCACTGTCTACGGAGTAACAGCTAGAGTACGAATCTGCTCTCTGTCGGCGGACACTAAAAACAAGGAGACAAAGCTGTGTTTAAATGAAGTGTTTCACTCTTTCCAGGAATTAATTTAACAGAGACAGATTTCGTCCTCTCTGAATATTCTTATATGAAAAGCTTGTGTATTTTTTGGATAGGCTGCTTGGACTATTAATCCATCTTCTTTAACTGGAAAGTACTTTGGTTCAACTTAATTTTTTTCGGTTTTTTTCCTCCTTAAAAAAAATTGCATTCTGATTAAAACTGACATGACTTGTTTGCACCTTGTGGAAGATGTGTCGTCTTCTTCCATTTTGTCTAAGACTTCGCTTGTCATTGTGCTGTAGCTCTGAGCTGGAGACAAGGCCTGGTCCACGTAATCCCTAAAAAAGAAGGAATGGTAGAATGACAATTCTTTTAGTTACTTAGTGACCACACGGCAAGTAAATTTCCAGACATCATACAAAATAGCCCAGTCTGTGATTTTTCTCACTTATCTAGAAAAGTCTAAGTTATTCAAACTGAGGATATTGAGCAATTATGATGCATGATGGAAGGGCTTTCCTTCACTGGAGTGACTCTACTAAGACTCAGCATATGTGATGTAGCAAAAAGACAGCAAAAGTTGCAGACCGAAAATCCCACCTGAGCACAAAAACAGCCAAGCAATGACACAATCAAGAACAACTGGAGTTTCCAATATTTCCAGTTTAACTTCACTGTCTGCAAATATCTTTCAACATATGTCAGAAAACTGTAGTTTATTGAGCAGGTGCTGATGCATAAAGTTGAAATAGACTGTGCTCTATTTGGCCCCGAAAGTCTAGTTCAGCAGACTTCAACTATGAGGGGAAAATCCCCTGTCAGCAGAGTCACAACCACTTAGTAGTGTGATCGGTCAATAACCCAGTGAAATTCTTACTATTAATGATGCGTGCAATTTTCCTGTCTTTAGCCTGTGCTGATAACTAATCGATTAACAGTTTCATGTAACTAGTCTGGTTTTTAATCATTTCTGAATGTAATTGAGTATTTATGCACTGGTAGTAAACCAAAAGTTCAAAGACCGGACACAGTTTGACATTTTCAACTTAAATATGCGTAGAAAAGAAAACAAAGATGGATGCATGAAATATAAATTTTGTATGTACATGTATAACATGTAACAACCCAAAAAGAGACAAGCTGAAGCTGAAGCCATCAAAATCTGAAATCCCACTGCAAACTGAGTGATGCTTATTTTTATGTATTGTAACCTAAGAAATTACAGACAGTCACAGCGTAGGTCGGCATAAATTTTACTCACTTAACAATACTTAAAAAGTATTTTCACTACAAAAACACAGTGTTAGAGTGAGAGAAGCACAGGAAGGGGTTGCATGTCAAACATTTCTCCATACCAGTGGGTTGTGTCCATTGGACTGGGTCCCAGGTCAAGCGAAGGTCTTCTTGGAGGAATGTAGTAGAGGTCCTCATCATCATCTTCTAACTCCTCCTCAAGCTCACTTTCCCGTCTTCCAGAAGCTGCTTCCCCAATGGAAGAGCCTTCTGATTGAATGGCCATCGCTTCGTCTGTGTCGCTCATGATGTCATGGAGAGTGTCAGTGAGCAGCACTGATAAGAAGAAGAAGAAAAATCCTGGGGAAATAAAGGAGACACATATTAAGCTTTATACTCTTGCTTATTCAACACGTTTCTGCTATTAAAGATGTCTTTAGTAATCTCTTGCCAAAAAGAAATTATACAACTTTCCTTTAGAGGTCTTGGGAAAGTAACTAATAAGCATAAAAGACTGTGGTTTCAAATATTCTGACACTGGCTCCTGCATTGGTTTGAATAGCGGTGCAGGGGTTAGCACAGCAAGAAGGTTCTTGGTTAGCCAGCTGGTGGAGTGTGCATGTTCTCCCTACACCTGCTACTGCTCCCTCCCACAGTCTAAAGACATGCATGTTAGGATGACTGATGACCTGTCTAGAGTGCACCCCATTTCGTGCTCATGATTGCTGGAATAAGCTCAGGACACAATCTGATATTGTTGTGTTGGTGTTGTTGCCGAACAGTTATAACACTTGTGGTCCAGGATCAGAATTGCAACTGACCAATCACATTGTCTGAGCATTCATTTAGCATTTCTTTCCTTCTCCCTCACATTGCAAAGTTATGACAACAACAGCATGGCTGGTCAATTGCAATGTTGATCCTGGACCGACATTATTATGGTGATGCAGAAACAACACCAACACAGGGATATCAGATACACTGACTCCAGGCACACTGTGACCCCCGAATAATGAGAAGAAAATGGATGGACAGCTCCCAATTATTTTGTAATTATATATACATATATTATATAAAATACATTATATAAATTATAGTCCTAAGTAGGAATGTAGAAACAAATAACGGTGCACTTGTTCCTTTTTAGATTACTGCAATTCGAGCTGCAGCAAGGGTGCTATTAGTATCAAAGTGATCACGTTTCCCACAGCATTACCATTTGCTAGCATTTGTAAGTCTCATATCACATTAGCACTTTGCCTTAATTACACTTCCTTGAGTTTTGAAAAGTAGACTGGGAGCTGGAGCCTGGAGCTATCAGCACAGTTTTGTTACCAGTGTCTATTAATATGCTGTGTCTTTGCTCTTTGTCCCCTCCCTCTCTCTTCTTCTGTGCACTCCTGCAGGTAACTCTGGTTTATTGTTATACATGTATTCCAACTATCTGTCAAGCTGATCACGGCCCACGCCGAGCCTGGTCATGCCGCAGGTTTCTTCCTGCTTAAAGCAAAGCTTGTTTCGCTACTGTATCCATGTGCTGGCTAACAGGAATTTGTTGGCCTTCCTTACTCTAACTGCTTGAGGTCTGCATTCATAAAGCAGAGTAGAAACTGGTTTAATTTGACATTTTTGGGAACTCTTCCGCATTGCGTTTTCCTTTTCATCATGTTATGAATGGGAGCTCGTGCCACCTGTCTGACCTACAGCAGCCTCTACATACCATGATAAAATTATGTCCGCGGCTTTTCATAATGTCTTTCTGAATGATTTAATGCTAGCCGTGTTGATTTTGAACTTAGAGATTTACATAAGCTAACTCGATGAAGCGTAATAAGAAGGCTCCAACAGGCAACGAGGAACACGACGTTTACACAAAACGACGACAAATGCTTTCACGACACTCAATCATCTCATGTAATTTCACTGTTTATAAAATAAATACATTATTGCTACATTAAAAGCATGTAATGAACAGTGAATAGCTTACCCTTCTCCGTGACTGGAAGTTTCTTCTTCTTCTTCGTCTTAAGTTTCTTCTTGTTTTATGGCTATACTACACCTCACTAGGCCTACACTACCACCTACAGGATAAAATGTGAAAATCAAGAGAAAAAAGACGAGTAGTGGAGGTGTGGTACAGTACACAGAGGTCTTGATGCATTCTCAATCATCCAGGAAAGTAAATCTCCAAAAAGTTGATTCTGTTCATCTGGACGTAGCGTTTTGTGGGAGAAACGTTTCATGACTTCTTCAGTGAAGACGTGACTTCAGTGAAGAAGTCACTTGGATGAGTGACGAAACGTTTCTCCCACAAAACGCTACGTCCAGATGAACAGAATCAACTTTTTGGAGTACACAGAGGTATTAAAAAAATCATATGCATCCAAAAGCTGCAAAAATACATATAAGTAAAACTCCAAAAGTAAAATAATCACAAATCTGAATGAATTTTTTCATATTATTATGTTATATATCATGTTGGCATAATATAGACTCAGTACTTTGAAGCTGCGAATTGATCTAGAAGGATGTCAAAGATCTATCTATCTATCTATCTATCTATCTATCTATCTATCTATCTATCTATCTATCTATCTATCTATCTATCTATCTATACACAATTGACAATCAATTTTGTACAAAATGTACAGGGCTGGTGGAAAAACACTGGCTTAAATTACTTCATTTAGCTGTTTAGGTGTTCTGACCCTGGCTGTTAGAGTTATATTATAAGTGACCAAAGGACTGGAAAACTTACCAAAGAGATGTGCTCTCCACCCAGCAATTTACAACTGCAGTCCTTTCACTGCTGGACTCTCCATGCACAGTTATTCAAATGACAAATAGAAAATTGCTGCAGCACAGTCTTTTATTTTTTCCACAGTCTTTATTTTAAAAGCCAACTGCTAACTATTCTGGGTGGCTATCTGGCTTTTTTGCCAGCAGCTAATGTAACTTTAAACAGCCAACTCCGAGCTGATATGATGACTGGACTGCAAAGATGTGCAAAGCTTTTAGCTCCATATGATTACTTTTGTTTTCATTTTCAAACTTGTGGACTTTAGACTCAGTCAGACTTAAACAACATCACTTGAGACAAGTGACAAACCTGAAATCAGTAGCAGTAACTGGGTGCATCCCATGTAATCAGATGTGAAATGTTTGTAGAGTACCACTTCAGCTAACATTATATATAACATCTGTACTACTACTACTACTACTACTACTTAAACAATAAAACTAAGGTTTTATTGTTTAATTTTATGATACTTCATGGCACATTTATTCTGACTAAATATAATTACTATATCTGTTATACTGTGTTTTAGTACCCAGTACTAAAGGACTTTACTTGAGCAGATATTTTCCATTTTATTACTTTACCTCAGAGGAAAATATTGTACGTCTTAATCAAGTATTTTTGTCTCACAGCTTTCGTTGCTTTCATTTTGAACACCTTTCCCGACCAAACTTTTAATTTCCTGTTTCTCTGAGCTCAGGAAAAACTACATGTGGTTCTCACAGGACAGCACTACTACTATTATATAAAGCAATGTCACAGAATCTGATCTATTGGAGTAGGTAATATAATTTCCTTAGGGATTAATAAAGTATTCGGAAATAGATGAATTCCTTAACAGTAACGATAATTAACATTTTGAAATGCTATAGACACTTTAACTTTGGATACCACCGTTACAAAATTGTTGATTTATTCTTATACCTTTAGATAAATATGATATTGAAATTTGCACAGAGTGGTGTGCAAATGAATTTAATGAGTACTTCCTCCATCACTGCACTTCTTGCAAATCAGTGTCATCTTGAACTATATGATGACCCTGCTGTTATATAAGTCTGATACTGAATGTCAAACCTGTGAGGGCTCGTGCTCATTGCACAGTAATACACACATTTCCCTTGGCTGTGTCCCTGCTGCACAATATGACTCATAAAGGTGAAAAAAAAAACCCAACATTGCTTAAAGGAGCTGTAGCCAGTGAAATGATTAAGTTTCACACTTGTCTGTATGCTGAGCGATGGGGCAAGATATTGGCATGGCAGCGTAATGTGTTGCTTCCGATTGCATTACTTTATGGAGGCACTGCTGCCAATTTTTTTTTAAAATTTAAAATAAACAGGCAACCTAACAGGTTACACCCCCATCCTTACCCACCCACCCACACCACCACCAATTTAAGGTCCTCCCTAGTTCATGATTCCTTTTAAAAAGATATCAACTAATTCGTGATAAAGAAAACGCTAACATGACAAACACACCTCAACAAAGCAAATTCATAATTTGCTTTGGTATAATTCATACATTATATCATGAGTGCAATGCAAATGCTTTATTGCAATTGTGGAATGATAAGGACTGTTTCCTGATAGCACTGAGTTCTTCTGGGAGTACCACTATTATTTGCAATGATCTTGGATCCCAGCTTAATCTACTTCCCTGGCGCCTATCTGGGTGCTTGTTCTGACATCTAAATCA